GATACCGATGTTAAAGCTGGACAAAAATAAGTAGCCATTGAAAATAGCAGTTTTGTTATCCATTTCTGACACTTTGAAAAGTAATATACTCAAATATATTTTCATATGCTGATATCAAATAGATTTTTAAAAACGCGGTATCGATCTTTTTTACTTTCAAAACCTCGTGAAATTTCATCGTTCTGTTACAAACTCTCGTGATACTTTGCAAATTCTTGTGAGATTTTGTTAGTAAAATAGATCAATACCGCGTGTAAAAATATGGCAAAATTTCGTGAATTTTCGGGGGATTTCGTAGCATAACGATGACATATAGCAATATTTCATTAGTAAAAGAGTTTTTAAATGGCAATATATCAGCATAGGAAGATATTGTGATATTTTAATGTATCAATATTTTTTCCCTCGTCTTTAGAAGTTTTTAAGTCTGTAAAAATAAGTTTTTGAGGAAGAAGAAGTAGTATTTTATTATTTTTTTTTGACTTAGAAACTCAGAAACTGATCAAATATCGGGTTAAATATCGGTGGGGTGGCCGATATTCAGTTTTAAGGCCGATACAGGCCGATACCGATAGGCGGCAGATTATATCGTGCATCCCTAGTTCTGATGGCATTTTAGCGAAAGGCTTTTTATCAAAAACATACTTAATGTGCACAAATAAGGAATAGTTGTATTAACGATGCATGTAAACAGAGTTTTATGGTGCCCTAAGCAACTGTTGAATCTAACAAATGCTATTTCAATCTGCAGCCGAAAGCGTACGCAGTCAATCATGCCACCGCATACGGGGGGCGAGAGACGGTGAAGGTGCTACTGGCGCTGCTAGACGAAGAAGCTTTGGCTTCTCCGTGTCCCAACAAGGCCGACCTGCTGTCTGAGGACCAGCCGGTTCTCAGTGGAGCTGAAGGAACCTGCGTCTTCATGCTGTTCAGGTTGGTCACGAGCTAACAGAAGCACATCTCAAGAGGCACAAATGAGGGATTTTTTTTTTTTGTAAGATACAAGACAGTGTATTATTTCTGTCTTTGTTCTGTTTTTCACTTCTATTCTTTTTTTTTTTTTTCGTCAAGAAGGGTATGAATCTGTGCCTTTTATAAGAATATAATTCAGATTAATAAAAAGAAAAAAGAAAAGATTACAACTTTTTTACACTTTCCCTAAAGAGAAATCAGGGTATAAAGTAATTTCTTTTCCTTTGGAGTCTTATCTTGGTGAAAAGTGTATGATGTAAAGTTTGTGCTCGTCACACCGAGTTTGAATTCTATTAGGCTGTTTTTACACTCTGTGAGAAAAGGAAAAGCCCTGCAGCAACAATCGTGGCAACCCCCGATGAAACCACACCGTGTGGGGAAAATCCTCCCACATCACACTGGAACAATTTATCAGGTCAAACATCGGAAAGAAAAACACAGCAAAATAGAAGCCTGGGGGTGTGCTTGAATCCTGTTTTCTGACGTTTCTGAAGTTTTTTGACAGGATTGAAACTATATAAAGGGGAATAAAATGGTGTATTTCTCTAAATAAATCCAAGCAAGTCCAACTTTTTGCTTTCTTAATCTAGAAAACTCTCAAGCTTACTTCTTTTTTTCAGATCCCCTGAAGTGTCCACTGGATGTTCTCCAGAACCCCTCAGGAACAGAGTCCAGAGCCGGCTAAACCTGCTGAAACCCAAGGTAACACCAGCCCTGAAAATCTAAACCCTCACTTTCTCCAAATCGAATCAGATGTGCAAACACTGAAAATAAAGTCTTTACATCCTGTAATTTCTCTCGCTGGTACTGTATTATTTATTTGCTTAGGTGAAACTCACAACTGACTTCCACAGTCAACGTTTTCACAGCTGTGTTTTAGCTCTTAATGCTGGTTCAAGAGTGCAGTTTCAATCCAAGGTATAAAGTGAACTGTTTTTTGGGAGGTGGGGGGGGCTCACGCCATTAACAGACACCTCATGATGGTTTATTCCATTGCCTATTTGTTTACAGTGCACAAATCTCTACATTTAAAAATAATATTTCACCCCTGTTGGATGATTTTTTTTTATTTTTGCTTAATTTAATCACATAAAACACAATGTTTTGCTTCTTTTTGATAACTTTTTACCCAGATGTGAAGCTCAAACCTCACCTTATCACCATGATGCTCTGCAGAAACACTTATTATTCTGAGCCATGACTTGGGAGCAGAAGCAGACACAGAGGTAAACTGAAACCGGTCTGCTTGACGGAGGCAAATAACCGCGAGACGCTAATTCTAGTTTCAGCTGAAGAAATGTTCCACTCTCCATGCATCTTTGTCACAATAAGTTTAGCAGGGATCCCTGCTGCTCTTTCACACATCGGAGGGTTCAGAAATAAGAGTTGCATGATAAAAAAATAAAAATCCTCCACTGGGGCTGAAATTAAACAATCCTGCAAAGAATGGCAAACTAACATTCTTCAAAATGTAAACTTTTTTTCTTTTCTAAATAAAAGCAGTTATTTTAGTATATTATAGGTTGATAATTTGCTTTGAAACAATTCAATCAATATAAGCAAATTACAATGTCTGCATAATTTTACCCATTCTGAGTTGGAACCGGTTTTAATTTAAAGCGGATCACCTGTGTGAACCTTTTTATTTTCCAACACCATATGCTGAACACATTAACTGAGCTGACTCCTTCATTTGATGGAGCTACCACATGTCATCCTAGCTGGCCGCAATCTGGCTGCCTTCCTGTTTGAATGCTGCGTAATGGTCCCCGGGCCGCTCACCGCTTCCTGAACTCTGAGAGCGGAAGCTTTCCGCATCGATTTCCCTTTGAAGATGCCTTATCAGTCACACAGCTCGTCTAGCCGGGAGAACATGAAAGCTTACAGTTTATGAACGTTTTATTTCTCTAGGATTAAATACCTCTTAGCAGGAGATACATGTTTACCTGTTACTTGTTCCATCATTTCTGTGTTAATTATAGAAATCCAAAGGCTTTTATTTTTATCTATAAAAGAAGACTGTTCCCTCAAAGTGGTACTGGACTGGAAGTTGTATTACACTTGTTTTTGGCTGATGTTCGCCTACCATTCATGCAATTTTATTTCATAATAATCGATACTTGGCGTCAAGAATCGATGCAGTAGATCACGAAAATTAGAATCACGATGCATCATCATAACATATTTTTGAACACCCCTATTCTGCATGCAGATGCAATAGCATAAGGTTGTGTTATGTCACGAATGTGAGTGCATGCTGCTCCTCTGCCCCTGTTTGCTCTTTATGCACCCTTAAATTCACTCCTACTGGCATGTAGATCTGTCTCTTTGCACTCATGTCAACGTTTGTTAGTCTGCGCGAGAACCCAACAAAGAGAAGGTAAACTGCCTGTTTTTGGTTACTTTTCAGGAAATCCCGCTTTTTGAGACAGCACGTTTTCTTCCTGGTCTCAGCTATGCGAAATGTTGGCAAAGCATCTTCAGACTGATTGCTGTATTTTTCAGAAGGAGAATTTACACTTCATATCCAACAGTCATCTTTGTTATTAATTAATAATTTAGTAAACATAAAGAAAAAAATGCAGAATAGATAAGGGGTAATTTAAACTTTACAATGCAGCACTATAACCGCAATAACTTGCGAAATCACTCTTTAATACCCCGTCTTTAATACCTGTTTATATTAATCCCCCTGTGTAATAACTATAAATATATAAATATCTGTTTATATAAATACCGATTTATTAACCTGTGCAATAACTTGTTTATATAAATGCCCATTTGATCCCCTTTGCAATAACCCCGTGTAATAAGCTGTGCAATAAGAGACTTATACGGTATATATATATATAAAAATAAATATATATATATATATATATATATATATATATATATATATATATATATATACTGTTTATACCTCTTGGCACCTTCATTTCTACCTTTGAGTCAATCTGAAAAGGGAATTTCTCCACTGTGAGATCAATAACCTCTATCTTATCTTACTACCTGCAGGGCTGCTATCGACTCCTCAGTAGAAAGAAGTTATTTGCCATCCTAAAAGTTGCCAAGTGATGCGTTCACCTAACCTGACTCCGTCAGATGGATTTGCTCCGCATATCCATCTGGAAACCTTCCGTTGAAGTAATTTTGGGAAGGGGCGAAGATACTGGTTAGCTGATTGGCCTACGTTGGTTATAGACGGGCCAAATAAACCAATCAGATCAACGAAGCATATGACGTAACAGAGCGACGACGAAAACACAAGCCAGGCTACTCTTGCCGAAACCAGTCGGGAGAAGAGCAGAAACATCTTTTCCTCTGAGAAAAGCCTCCAGAGCAGTGTTTTGCTCTTCTTTCAGTGAAGAAATACTCTGTAATTCCGATAAAACTTGCTCGATAGCCACGCTAACGCTAGTTTCATCGGCTGAAGCCGCCATGTTCTTTAGACTGAACTGTCGGGCTTCTCGTTGCGTCACACCTCAACCCGCCTCAAAGCCAACGCTGATTGGACGTTCGTTTGGTGAACGGCTCCAAATATTCTTTAACGGAAAGTCTCCAGACTGATCTGCGAGTGAAACCTTGAAAGCTCACGAGATCAGGATGGTCTCACGAGGCTAGCGATCACCTACATTAAGTTATGCTTTCACCCAATCAAAGGAGACAGGAATATCAATATTTGCAAGACAGAAAGTGATTTATACAAATTCTAAATACGCTTAAAACTAAAAATAAACTCTATTAAATAATTTCAAGTATTAAGTAATATTTTACCTGAACCTGGTGTCATGGTGTTGAATCTACACATCTGCATAAAACATTCAAAATATGGAAAGAGTCAAAATTCCAAATTTTTCCCAGTCAGTTTTCCCAATTTGTTCTTAAATAAGCCTCCCCTCATCTGAGAGACAGTTTCTTTAAAATATTTAACAATGACTATTAGTTTGATTAGTGGGAACAGGCAGTTTGTGATAAGAAGTTTTCATGTAAGCAAAGTTTAATTTTTTATTTTAATCAAGTCAAAATGTTAAGCGAGTCGATTTGGGAAAATCCCCACAGCAACAAGTCTTGGTAGGTTAATTACAGGAAGAAGTTTGTGATTTGAAATACTATGACTAGGTTTTGTTTATTTTTTTTTCTCTCCTTTTGACAGAATATCTTATTGTTCCAAAAGCCTTTTTTTTATTTTTCTTACTGTGTTGAAAACATGGGTAGGAAAAACCCTCAGATGTCTTAGAAGGAACAAATCTTGGGCATCAACTTGAATTCAGAGATAGCGATCAGCATTGTCATATTGTTTGATGTTTTCATTAAAAATATTGACATATACCACTAAGTCCTGTGAACTATTCACAATAAAGACACTAATTACTTTGGAGAGTCCCGATCTCCTTCCATGTAATGCTAGCATGGCTGGTGCCAGACTGAAAACAAGAGATGCTTAGACATTGGGAGTCAAAATATCAGACATTTATATTCCCTTGAGGATAAACTCAGCTCATCCCATTTTGTCCGATCTACAGGCTTTTCATTGAAACGAGCTGCAGTTGTGCAGGTTGCAAATCTCCATGTGCTAGATGGCAAATAGTGTCTTGTGAAATTCTGAGTTACACTTGAATTACAAAAAAAACCCCAAAAACATTTATTTCAAATTACCATCTCACAAAGTGATGTTTGAAAGAAACGGGTCACATAAAATTCTATTTGGAGGTAAAATATGGAGTCAAATTGGGGCCATAATTTATGTTTGTTTTTAATCTAGTTAATAACAGGGTCTGTAATTAATTAATCGCACTTTAATCAAAAAACGAAACCACTGTTTCAATTTTTAAAAACTGTTTCTCTTCAACTATTGAATAGATTATTATATGAGGACAACAACTCATATTTATTGTTTTTAATCCAACTAGGTTATTTAAGGTGTGGGTGTATTTATTCTGCCTTAATTACTTGTTGCAGAGAAAAAATTGTGTGACTCTGACTCTGGTTGGCTTGAACTAACTAAACAGTGAGCATAGGGGTAGAGACTGAGGGCTGAGCTGAGGAGGGCGAGAGATTTAAAAAAAATAAACCGAGATTCATATGGTCTCATATAAGCATACTGTTAAGTTCATTAAAACTGAAAGATAAATTGTTTTATTTTTACAGGGATTTTCTAAGTTAAAACAGGCTGCAGTCTGTTTGTATGTATAAGAAAATGTAATTACTTGTGTTAAAGTTTTGAAATGTAATAATGCATATATTTGATTATTTATTTTTTAAAAGCGGAAAATTAAGTTTGGTTAAAAAAAAAAAAATTTCAGATTGTTTTTAGTATGTTTCTTTTTTTTTGGCATGGGGTGGGATCTCAGAGGATGTGCTTCATGACTAACAGCTCAACACAGCGGCTGAACCATAGACATTATATATGTAGACGCCTTATTGGACGCTGCCGACAGCGAGGCTGACGTGCCTATAGCGCGGCCATCGTGGGTCATACCACAGTTTAGACATCTGCTGTCAGAATGAATAGGAGGTACCTTGGACCTAATTTTAATCTGACATGGAAGATGATGTGTCTTTGGTTCAACACATCTGAATCAAGTAATTAGATGGAGGACTCTGGGGGAACTCACAGCATACTAAGGAGATAAATCAGCCACCTGATTCAGGTGTGTTGGACAAAGGATGGATGTAAAAGTTGCAGGATAGTGGCCCCCAGGAACTGGAATTGCACACCCCTGCTTTAAAAGAACAAAACCAATTTTGAAATTATTTTTTGTACATGTAATTAGATTCAAAACTACTAAAAAAACAAAATTATGTATTAAAACAGAAAATCAGATCTATCAGTTGGCCCCATACAGCGCATGAAAAATTCTTGTTTTTAGTCAGCCAATTTATTTGGAAATTGGTTAAGAGTTTACCGGATTCAGAGTGTTTAACTTCATACAGTAGGGTCAGCCGAAATTGACGTGCATCGTCCCTGACGGTGGCTTGGTCTGACCTAAGATGGCCGCACTGTCGGCATGCCTCTCACCTGGTGATACGGTTTTCTGTCTATGTCTGGGCCGAACAACCTACTCCCATTTGTTGCATTCAGGTGCCGTGTGAACTGAAAATGTCTTTAAAACATCATCAGTAGAGGAAGCTTACATGAACACACATCGCAAATCTTAGATGAGATTAGTACCGCATTTTAATTCCCATTGATACATCGGGAAAAAAAAAACTTCCATCTGAAAAGCAGTTTTTCTTTAAACAATCTTATTTTTCAAGCTTAAATGTTTTTCTTTTAAACAGACCTTCCTTTGTTTTTCCTAGAATACATGTTTTGTTTTTGTTTTTTTAAGGTTTAATGTCAAATAAATCTTTTTAACAAACTCCATTGCCCTAATTTAGCTCCATAGGAAAAAGACTAAATGGAGTTCTTCCACAATGTTGGATTTTTTGGCAAATTTATGTACTTATTAAAATACTTTAGTCAGTTAGTTTGCATTTTGAACTATTAGAGCTACTTAAACGAACAAAATTAGGAAGCAACTTAATCTTTCTTGTATAAAATAGGGTTTGAAAGTAAAAGCAATTTCTGATTTAAAAAAAGACTATGTTTACTTCTGTTCAGAAGCTCAAAATCATCCGTGTTTGTTTTATTTCAGGCTACGCAAAGGGTCATCCGTTCCCAGTTTGCCTGCACATACAAAGATGAACCGCCACTAATCAGGGTGTTGGACTTCCCAAGCAGCAGTCAGATTCCAACCTGTGTTCACCCGGCACCAAAGCCAAAAACCAGTCAATCTGTGGAAGACCGCTTCAACCCTGATGCAAATCAAGCAACAGGTACATGTTGCACCCCACTGTTTGGAACAGCCTAAAGCTGTTTTGTGCTTAACTTGTATAGAAATCCAAAAAGTGAATGTGTTCTGTGCTACGTTATTACACAATTGGACTGGGAAACACCTTCTCAGCTTGGGCCTTGAACTCTTCCTACTTCCTACTCTGAGAATGGTGCTTACTTTAAACCATTAAATTAATCTCTTACTATAAAATATTCTAACCCCCACTCTTATAGTAAAATCTAAAATGATCTAGCAGGCGTTTTCCAATGCTTGTATGGATTTTGATCTGTGAGAATTCTGCCTCAGCTGCACAACGTTTTACACGACAAATGTTCAACTCTAGTTTCATGACATGAACACGATCTGCTTGGACCTCCAGTACAGTTTAGGAGTTTCCCTTTTGTTGCGTCCAACATTTCAAACTTGTTTTTGGTTTGTTTCGTTTTTTGTTTTTGTTTTTTGCAGCCAAATCTTCCAGTGAATTCGGGAGAAAAGACCAAGAGGTACAGCGGGGGGTTGTGCCCGAACAGAGGAGTGGAAATGCTCAAAGCGGAGGTGGATGTCCGACTAATAAAAGGAAAACTGGCATTCAGATGCAGAGCAAGGGTAAAAAGAGGAAGCAGCTGGATTCTGAGCAGCACTGCGGATCAGAAAATGAACCTCCAGAGAAGAAACAGCACACCCGTGTGTCAGTCAAAGCGCCCGGCAAAAATGTCTGCAAAGCTTCAAATAAAAAGAAACTTATAGCTGGACAGGGAAAGCTTACCAGCTTTTTTAGAGTTTAGGCGTATCTTTCCTTTATTTGAAGATAAAATAGCAATTCAGCTAAATAGTTGAATTCGTCTACAAATTACATTTTTACCCTACATCTGTTCTCCGACTAAAATTTTTGTCTAATTTTGTAGTTTTAAAATTAGTTCCTTTTGAGATTTGCTGAAAGGGCCTTTTTCATTCTTTTTGACTTTGGAAATTCACTATGCAACAAAGCTTAGCAGCAAATTAGCATCAATACCAGAGAGAGATAACTCTACCTGAAAATGGCTTAGTTTTATTTTTTAATCACAATTAATATGCACGTAGGCTAAGCAGGAAGGGTGTTAATCTGTTGAAATTAGTCTCCTACTATTTAACTGTGTCCTAGTACAGTTATTAGCAGAAAACTGAGAAACAACACACTGATTGTAATGACCACTAGCAAAAATGTTCTGTTTTCTACCAATTTCTGACTAAATTAAAGATAAGCTAAACAGAGAAAATGCTAGCGAGAATTTTAAAATTGCTAGCTAGCCTGCAGCCACGTTCAATACTTTTTTTTTTCTAATTAACAGCATTAAATGTTAGCTTTAATTAGTTATAAATTTAAGACTATATTTGTTTCTTCAAATAAGACCTAAAGTAGATTAGTAGGCTAAACAAGAACTTGGGTAAATACTGAAAGCAAAGAAAACTAGCTGTTTAGAATTAGCTAACTAGCAGCTACCAATATTTTTTGATAAGGTTTTATACTAATTAAATAATATAAATATGTAAAATTATGGCTTGAGTTGGTGATGATGATATCTGTCTATGTCTGACTTTAGTTTAATGATGTGATTATAAATACCATGATTACCATTGATAATTACAGCAACGAGAGCCGCATTAGCTAAAGCGGGTAACTAAAAACCAGCCGCTAGGAACAGGCCTGGTTGACTTTTCTGCTAAACAATAAATTAAACCCTAACTGCTTTTTATGCACCCATTTTTTACAGCATTTTCTCAACAACCTTAACATGTTTTATTTTAAATCAGATGATGTACTTTAACATATTTCCAGAAAAGCCTGAATCATATTTTAGCTTCTGACTTTGAAAGTTACCTTTTTAAATGGCAATATATTGTTTCTTTTAAACTTGAATAATTAATGAGGCAAAAAACCGAAAGATCAAACTTGAAGTCCATTTTATTCGATCATTGCACTTTATTTCTAAAGAACATGCTAGACATGAGAGCTAATACATGTCAACAGAAATGTAGATTACTACCAATGAAGGTTTTAACTGTATTATTTCTGTACAAGTTCATTATGTTTCTTTTTAATAAACTCTTTTTATTGTTGTTTTCAACATGTTTATCTTTTTATTTATTTTATGGAGAAAAAAGGACGTGTTTTGGTCTTGAGCAGTAACTTTCACAGCGTTTTCAAGAACCACTCAAACTTCCCAACATGGTCGGTATACTCTTCCGATCATACATCGCAGCACTGCAAAGAAGAAAACAATAGTCAGGCAAAACAATTAGATAACTAAACCATGTAAAAATCCTTTCTGGATACTTACTGTCGAGGTCTTTTTCTCGTTTATTTATTTTAAAAGTAAATTCATCAAGTGCGTTGTCCAAGCTTCGTTCTGTGATCAGAGGATGGCTCTGGGTCAGTTCCAAGTTTAGCCCACGAATGCTGTGACCCTTCATCTTCATGTCCTAAAAAAAACATTAATCGCCACATGTTACATCTCGCATATTCTCTCATCCTGTAGTATGTAAAATCTGAGAGATCAAGGACCAGCAACAGCTTTAAAGATTCTTTTTTCTCACTTAGCAGATGTTGGATTTCCCTTTTATCAGCTGGTCCAACTCACAGAAAATGGAACAAATGTGTCCTTGTGGTTTTTTTACGACATCACAGTAGCCCGCTTTTTCCGAAGTTCTAGCTCACTCAGATTTAGATGTCTTTGTACTTTCAATTATAGCTCTCTGTTTCCCATTACCACAAAGATAACCGCTGTGTTTATGAGACACTAGAGACACAATCGCCAGAAAAACATATTGCAGCCAAGGGTTTCATGAATCACCAATATATCATCATTCTTCCCAGTATGATTTCAATAAACTTTTATAGGCTTGTGATCATCTGACCTTTTCGGGTAATGGCATTTGCTGGTTTTCCAGTTCTGCTGTAAAATAATTTTATGGGCATGCGGGTAGAATATTGACTTAACAGAAGATGAACGGATGGTTGAGATAGTTAAAGATTTCGGGCGCAGCGTGAAAATAATTCCCACTGTAAAGAACGATGATAATGAATGCCTATGATGCATGACCAGCTGGAAAGAAATACACTTACAAGTTTTCAAACCTATTAAATATGGGATCTGGGTAGTTATATGTGAAAATTCTTTAAATCATGTTCTAAATGAAAGTTTCAAAGCTTTTATACTAAATTACACAGTCAGTACTTACAATCTCTGAAGAAAATGTAAAAAGTTTCACTGCTAAAAGATTGTATCTTGGAAAACTTACCGGTATGACGATGATTCTGGACGTCCCGTCATTTGGGAGGCTTCGTCTGTACGTTTGAGGGACCGCGGCACGTTCAGTCATGTCCTCTTCTGCTAGAATCGAGCCTAAACCTTCTTGTTCTTCTGCTGCGGCTGCAGGCATGGCCACAGTGATTAAGTGGCTGCTCATCTCAGAGAACAGCATTATAGCAAACAGGAGAGAGTAGACGGACATTGTAGAGACCAGGCTTTCCTCCGAAGACTCGCCTGATTTTGCCTCACCAAAAAACTGTTGTGATCGGGCATTAAGCTGCTTTATATATTGAAAATCTCAGAAAAATACAATCAGGTATCAATCTTTAAAAGGGGGAAGGCCACCGGAAGTTTAAAGGTGACTTCAAGTAAGCTTCAATCTTATTAAATAGAAGAAAGGAGGAATACAATTATTCATTCTGTTAGAGATGAGATACCTGCTGGTTGTCTTCTTTAGCCTTTTCAGACTGGAGTTGAATTTGCACACAAAAGGTCATAGGGCAGAAAATAGCAGCTGTAATATTCATTTAAAAGCTCTAAAAACTGTAGTCTACTCAATAGGTGGAAGGACAGAGGGCAGAAGCTTAAAGATGCCTATTGAGGGGTCATGCTGGGTGGCTATTCAAAACCCACTGAAAAGCAGTAAATAGACGTCTTAAACACATACTAATCTGCTCAACTCCTCAGTGCAGATCTAATCCCGGCACAATGTTCCAGACGATATCTGTTCTCTGTTTATCTAAGCTGTTTTATGAATTAACTTTCACTATTAGAAATGGTGCATTTAGGGCTGCAACTCAGGATTATTTTGCAAATTAACTAATCTTTTTTCAATTAATAATTGGATAGCCGAAGGTTCCTTAAAGAAGATTTTCAATGAAATTAAGCCAGGTAAAACTAATATATTTCCACTTGAGTTTTTCATGGAGCACATTGAAGGATGAAAACTATTTTTATCTTAAATGTGAAAATATATATATATTTTTTTACCATTTTGATAGAATTACTGCTCTTAATGGATTTCTCTGTCAACTAAAGGCATGTTTTAGTCCATTTCACAATTAATAACTAAATTAGTTGACGATTATTTCAATATTCAATTAATCCAATTAATTGTTTCAGCCCCTCTGCATTTAGGTGTTTACATGTGGTGAATATGAATTGGGATCAAAATGGAGCGGATTTTTACCTTTTCTTTTAGTTTTTGTGCAGCTAGTAGGCTTGTCCCGATCCGATCCACGTATCGGATCGGGACGCCGATATTGGCAAAAAAAATGTGTATCGGCAAAGCATGTAAAATGCCGATCCAGACTGCCGATCCAGTTTTTAAAAAAAAATCCGGTCCGTATTTTCCAGTTTCGCCGATTGAAACGATCCATTCCACTATTTTGCGCCAGTGTATCCCTGTTTTGCATTTTTATTAAAACGTACAGTAATACCTTTAACTGTTTACGGTTTTACTGTTCACTGTGCAATTTCAGATTGCTATTGATAATTTTGTCCAGTTTGTGTTTATCTCTTAATAAACAGGAAAGTTTGTTGTTACCAAGCATTGTGTTTTATTCAATCTCACCTAATTCAGCTGGCTAGATGTTATCAAGAGTACTAAAACCCTTTTCACCATGAGTCTTACAACTAAGGCTAAATACTTTAACTTAAACTTAAATACATGCTCGGATAGGCTGGTATCGGCCAGTATCGGTATCGGATCGGAAGTGCAAAAACCTGGATCGGGACATCTCTAGCAGCTAGTGGTCTTTATTTCTAAAGGTAATGGAGGGGAAATGGGGTTGAGAGCGGGGAAAGTCAAGCTTTGGGAAAGCTACCTAAAAGAGAGAGGTCATCATACATGAGTCCCATGTTCTACCTTTGCCAACGTGCTGGATCAACCCTCCCAGTAAAAGAAAGGGCATTCATTTGGTTTGAATGTGGAATAAAGCACAATAGACTGAACATTTTCATTTTCAGAACCATCTCTCAGGTTCGTCGACGAAGAAAGGGAGAATTGATGTATTTACATGTGGCTGTTAGAGAAGCGACGGACTGATATAAGATTGATAGTAAAGGTATATCATCTCTGTTCTCTAAAAATCAAACCTTGGAGCAAATGGGATGGAGTGAGATTAGCACACAACTTGTCTTAAGTTTCCACCGTTCATCAAAATTCAACAATACCTGGAATATGTGCCTGGTTTTAGCTGCAAATCTAGACGATAAAATCTGAATTTTGTGTGAGCTTAATAAAGGCATGGAACCTGTGTGTTGTAAAAAAGATTTGGCTGCTGCTGACATTGTAAAGGAATCAAGTAAACAGTATTTTCCTGACCCACTGTAACTTACTGGTCACCACAGACCAACATATTGATGATCTCCATCTCTTTGGCTACTGTGCATCTATCTGATTGCAACTTCCAGCAGGATAATGCTTAATGTCATAAACACTTCTTTAAAAACATCTGCTGAGAATCACAATGAAATCACTGGACTATAACTAAATACCTCTCCAGTCACTGGATCTTAGTACAGTAGAGTAGATTTGTGATGTGGTGGATAAAGTGAATCATGGTGAACACATTTTAGAGGTCGATGAAACACAACATAATAAAAGTCGCTGTATGAGGCCAATTGGCTTATCCTGGTTAGAACCTTCTCAGGCTATATTTATGTTAGTAAATCTTTCACAATAAAGTTGCCAAGACTAAAGAGTCTGCATAAACCACCATTAGTTCATATGTTTCCATTGATTACTACCAGAACTAGGAAATTACTTGGAAAAAACCTGTTCGATGCATGTTGAAGAGAAACAAAGTTATTGACATGCATCAAGGTCCTTCAATCTGTAGACTTCAAAAAGGTATTTTTAAGTCGCAGTAATTCACAAATAACCAACAAACAACTCAAAAATTTATGATCAAACTTCCCAAAATAAAGCTGTGGGGACATTTATGCTTTTATTTCCACCACATTTCTTGTTGAACACATGAGCCAAGCCCCCAGAGAAAGCTAAGACTATGCAGATGATAAAAATGAAAACACACAAAACACTTAACCATCAGACAGATGAAAGCCAAAGTACATCAACAACAGAAATTGCTTCACTATAAATTGTCTCTTACCTTCACCTCTTAGCCATGGAATTCATCTTGGTTATAAATCCTCAACATTATTTTGTCAGAGCTTCTTCAGTTACTTTCAAATACTTTTGGCTTTTAAATTTCCTAGTTGGCACATTGTACTTCCCACAGGAGGACTTTATGCTGTTTCTGATTGGTCAACAGTTCTGTCAATCTTATTTTGGTGGTTAGACTATTGTTCTATTGGCTCGAAAGACTCCCATGAGATATCTTTTATTGATTTCTTTGTTTTACCAATTCACTGCTGAGAAAAATATTAGGAATGTTATATTAGGACTTTTTCAAAACCTAGGATAATTTTAGAAATAAACAATCAACATTCAAATATATTCTGATGTTATATTAGTGGTTAATTTTCTGTACAAAAACATTTTTATTTAATCGTTACTATCATTTAACCTTAATTGATTTTTATCAATTATACTAAAGTTATTCCTCAGAGATTTAGAGCTCCAACTTTATCATTGTCGAATGATACCTATCCTGAATTTAGAATGACACTTTTTAACATAAGAATTTGAACACGTGTGCAAATACTTATTTGCACCTGTATCATACAAATAAATAGCTAAGAAATCATATATTGTGATTTCTGTTTTTTTTTGTTTTAGATTATGTCTCTCACAGTGAAATAAAGTTGGAGAACTTGAAAAATAGCAGATGTTTATATACTTATTTTCCTCACTCTAGCTGCTATCAACAAATGTAAGGTTTGTCAGAGCTTCTTCAGTTACTTTCAAATACTTTTGGCTTTTAGATTTCCTAGTTGGCACGTTGTACTTCCCACATGAGGACTTTATGCTGATTCTGATTGGTCAACAGTTCTGTCAATCATCTTTTGGTGCTTAAAATACTGTTCTATTGGACCTAAAGACTCCCATGAGGTACCCCTTTTTGTTGTTTTTTTTATTACCAATTCAGTGCTGTTAATTGCTACAAATGTATGTAGGTTTTACTTTACTGTGCAAATGAAGGCAAAAAAAAAACAAAACAACAAAAAACAAAACACTGAGCAGATAAAAAACTGCAACAAACACTATTGTGGTAAAACAATTGTTGGAGCAGTGGAGATTATAAAGTCTAAAAGCAGTTTAGAGGAAGGATTTGTGATAATGCTACTTTGCTCACTTAGGGTGTAGAAGTCTTAAATGAAGGGGCACTACAGTTCATCGCCTCAAACATGGAGTAGGACACATTAACTAGCAGTGTTGTTATTTTTTCTTCTGTCTGCCACTGCTTGCATTGCAACCTTGGACACAGCTGGCCCTCTTAATGAGCTTTTTCAACAGCTTCAGCTGCAGATAAGCTGCTGCCCAAACATAGCATACCATAAAATACTAAAAGAAGGTCTTTAGGAGCTGCATGCCAGGGGATCTCAGTCTCTGCAGCTTCTGCAAAGAGCTTCAGTGTTATTGTTCAGGTAAACTTCAGGTTTTTAGAAGAGCTCTCAACATTAGTTCCCTGGATGTTCACCACCATAAGTGTGGTGGGTCCATGCCTTTGGAAGTTCAACATTAGTTCATACGTTTTCCGTACAATGTGATAAGGGGGTTCTGCTGGCACCAGTCCAAAAAGGGGTCTGTTAACTGTCTGCACAGACTATGAAGGAGTCATCTGTGAACCTCTGAAGGGGACATTGTGGGGAGTTGAGGGAGAAGTCTGCTTTATAATCACTGAACAGTGTTGGGCTCCTGCAGAGCTCCAGTGCTACAGACCAGCCTGTCAGAGCCGTCCTTGCCCTAGCCCACCAATGGTAGTCCACTCCTGTTTCACCCAGCTTGTGCCTCAGAAGTCCAGTCTATTGGTGTAGAAACCACAGTGCATTCAGGGTTCTCCGGATGGATCAGAGCTTGATACAGTGGAACCATAATGGTATCACCCATTCTGATACCAGGCTGGTAGAATAACTGCAGAAGATTGAATAGAGAACTTACCAGGGGTGAGTACTTGTGAACCAACCTCTCGAGGGTCTACATCACATATGAGGTCAGTACTAGATGTTGGAGATCGGCCTGTTTTCCAGTGTGGTCCTGTGACTGGGTGGATGTGCTCTCTTCGTCCTCTGGCATGGGAGCTGCCTCGGAGCTCG